GGGGGGGGTAATCGGACCCCTCGGACCCCTGCTGAGGACGTATGAAAAAAGTGTAAAATCGACTTTGTAAGATTTGAGGGATCGATTTTACACTTTTTGGGTCCAAAATTTGTGAAAAAACGTGAATGAGAAAAATATCGATTCTAAGGTAATTTTTCATGCTGATTCCGAATTTTTGGGTTTCAGGTAAAAAAAATCACATCTTGGGAGTTTTTGACCCCCTGACCCCTTTAAGGGGTGGGGGGACTTGGAGGGCAGGGGTCCCAAAAAATTTCTCTCATCATTGAACAACTTTGTAGTACATTATTTTTCGATCCGATGAAATTTTAAAAAATTGGGGGCACCCCCACCCTGGGGAAAAATTCAAAATTCTGCTCAGATAGAAATTTTTTATTTTTTACCCCCATACCCTCCAAAGGGTTTTTAAAAATTTTCACTCCTTCATAGTGAGCCTGATATATGAGACACCCTGTATAATAAAACTGAAATAATAAATTTAAAATTCAATTTACAGGACACTTTTGTTGATCATGCGCGAAATGATTGGAACGGAGCGTGACTATGTGCGTTCACTACACTACATCATCGATAATTACATGGACGAAATGAATCGCGAAGATATTCCACAAACAATGCGAGGACAACGAAATGTTATATTTGGAAATGTTGAAAAAATCTGTGAATTCCATCAACAGTACTTCTTACACGAGCTCGAACGATGCGAAAATAATCCACTCAAAGTTGGTGCCGTATTTTTAGAGCATGAGGCCAAATTCTATCTGTATGCTCTGTATAATAAAAATAAGCCAAAAAGTGAGGCTCTCATGAGTGAATATGGATCCAGGTTTTTCAAGGTAATTTTTGATCGACATTGACAGCAAACTTTTATTTTTAAGTCAATTGATTTTATTAAAAACTTTGAATGATTCTAGGCAAAGCAAATTGAGCTTGAAGATAAAATGGATCTTGCGTCATATCTATTGAAACCAGTGCAAAGGATGGGAAAGTATGCTTTATTGTTACAGCAGCTAATGAAAGCAGTTACCAGTATACAGGGGCCATCATTGCAAGAGATAGCCGAAGACATTGAAGAGCTGCAAAAGGCTGAGGAAATGGTCCGTTTTCAGTTGCGCCACGGAAATGACCTATTAGCCATGGACTCGTTACGTGATTGCGACGTATGTTACAATTACTATTTGATTTCACATGAACCGATATATTCAAAAACAATCGTTTCAGGTAAATGTTAAAGAACAAGGTCGCCTATTGAGACAGAACGAATTTTTGGTGTGGCAAGGCAGAGGTGGAAAGAAATCATTGCGTCAAGTATTCCTATTCGAAGATTTAGTGCTGTTCAGCAAAGCAAGACGCTTTCCAGATAGCAAAAATTTGGACATTTATCTTTATAAAAATAGCATAAAAACATCGGACATTGGCCTAACCGAATTTGTTGGTGATTCGACTACCAAATTCGAAATCTGGTTTCGAAAAATGAAACCAGACGATACATGGACATTGCAGAGCATGAACGAAGACACGAAAAAAGCATGGACCGAAGAAATATCGAAATTGCTATGGAAACAGGCGAAACGGAATCGTGAAATTCGTATGGCAGAAATGTCATCAATGGGCATCGGAAATAAGCCATGTTTGAATATTCGACCGAGCCAAAATCAGATCAATGATCGTTCGGTTAGTTTTTCGCAGCTAGAAAAAGGTAAGCATCATACAAATTGTAAATTGGAATTTGGAAATTGCATTATAACAAATATATTATTTACATAATAGCGCCGAAGCTGCGTAGTTCATTTTCATCGTCATTGGCTGAAAATGCGAAGGTACTACAACGTCCAAACTCCATAATTTCGCTTGGCTCATCATTTTCGTCGAGTACCAGTCGTTCATCTGCATCGTCCAGCAGTAGCAATGCAAGGAATATCACATTGGGCAATGAACTCGATATGATCAACGAAACTCTTCCACTCAAAACGATAAACAATTCCAAGAAATATCAGCGATCTACCACGCTTGCTAGCCAGCTATCGATGGGTTTGTGTCTTCTTTCATTTTTCAAATATTTCATTGAATTTATTTAATTCAATGTTTTGTTTTCGATGCCATCTTAGAAAGCGGAATAATAGCTGACATATCTACATCACCCGATACCGAAGTACAAACGTCAGAAGACACATCATGGATGAAATCAATGTCACCATTTACACATCAAAAATCACTAACAGACAACAGTATTCAAAAAGGATCCACATCAAATACGAACGTTACACGATTAGTTCCAGATAATGATATGCTTAGCGCAAATTCAACAACAAATCCATACATAAACAACGATTCCATGGCTGTACATTTATGAGCTGAAACAAGTTAACATCTTAAATGCACTTAACATACAGAGCTTAATCATTGCGACTATCTTATGGGCCATGTTTAACACATTAACGAAATTCAGTGACTTATTTCACACAATTTATTATTGCAGTTAAATATTTTCCTTATGAAACTAGAGATTTTAGAGAACAATTAATGTTATTTTTGAATTCTAAGACGATCCAACAACAAAAAAAAATGTTTACTCTTCTACGCATTCATCTTATTTGTATTTGTATCAAATAGAAACAACAGAGTCCATCGTACACTTTAATTTAAATCTATTTAATAACTAAAAACATATTTCTAACGAAATCTATTGTTTATTTCTATTTAATTTAATACATAAAACTTATTTTTATATGAAGAATCCACTTTTTGCAACAACAACAAAAAAAAACAACAAATATTTTTATATGCAGATTTGCAGATATCAGATGTTCAAAATCACATGAAAAATATCAGTCAAATTTCGTTTATTTTTGTTTGAGCACAGTGTCGAACTGCTAAACAAACGTCCATTCATTCAAATTGGTACGATTTATATTGCTTATTTATTCACTAATATTTTATGACATCAATAGGTTTTATATGAAATATATATATTACAAATGAAAGAAAAAGCATCTTTGTTTATTTACATCTTAGTGTGCTAAGTCTTAAGTACCTGTTAAGGTAAGTTTACTCGTGCGTGAACGTGCACCGTGATTAGTTTAAATTGACCGACAATTGAATGGGTAAGAATAATCATGAGCTCCAAACATTCTTTAAAAAAATACTGATACAAGACGATGAATTAAAATAAATGAGATACTAACTCGCGTTTAAAATAAATCTGATACTTGAAAGATATTGAAAATAAAAGTGGTATGTATCACATTTATTTTCAATTCGTTCAAGTATCAAATTTATTTTCAATTCTGGCTAGTATCTCATTTATTTTAACTCATTTGTGCATTATACCGAGTCTCCGAGAGTTTCATATAAGCCTTCCCATGTAGATGGTAAAAAATCGTGAAAAATGAAAAAAATAATCAAATTTTTTTTCTTCGATTTACAAATACTATTCAAT